TATATACTCAAGCATAAGCCTCGTTTTTCAGTCCCCCTTTTTAGGCTGAAAAAGCTCCCCTCGGCTTATACTCGAGTCAAGGTTAGTTATTATTTTACTCTGTTATTAGTATTATTTTTATTACATTTATTATTTTACTCTATTATTACTTTTATTATTTTACTCTATTATTATTACATTATTTTACTCTATTATTTTATTACATTTATTATTTTATTCTATTTATTATTGTTTTTATTACATTTATTATTTTACTCTATTATCACTGTTATTACATTTCCATTATTTTATTCTATTATTATTAATTTTATTATTTTACTCTATTATTATTGGAAGGATACATAAACACATTTACATTAAAGAAGGTTAGAATAATGGTTTAATCAGAGTTGGACAGACTTATCTTAGTTTTATGCAAATATTCAAAAATATTAAACCTACTGATGCCTCAATTAATGTAATTGTATGGTATCTATTTTTATTTTGAAATTTACCAGTAGCTGCTGCATTTCTCACTCTCGGCTTATACTCGAGTCAGTATGTTTTCCCAGTTTTTTTGTGGTAAAATTAGGTGCATTGGGCATATATTCAGGTTGGCTTATACTCAAGTATATACTGTATTTCTAATTTCTAATTTTCATAATAGCCCTCCCTTGAATAGTGCACAACCCAACATTCTGTGACCTATTACAAAGCACACAAACACCCTTTTACAGCTCCATCTAGCAGCAAAGACCTTTGGGCCATAGTTGAATTGCAATCAGTGAATGTATGTGCATGACCCTGAATGTGCATAGACTTTCTGTTCGAACAAAAATCTATGCAGACATAGACTGGCACTGGAATAGATTTATGGGTAAGATGAGTTGCCTTGTTAAGACTGTCAGGCTAGAAACCACAGTATCGCTTATGTCCGCAGCTGGTTCTGGTCCTACCAGAGATATGATTATACACTGTAAAGTACCATAACCTTCCAAAACAAATGACATTTCATAAGCCACAATGTTTACCCTTCTGAAGAGCAAAAAGGCAAATGCTGCAATTTGAAAACCGCCACTTTCGCAGCCAATATATATCTATATCTATATCTATCTCTATCTATCTATCTAGTCATCAAATGAAACTTGCGTATATATTTTATTCCCATACTAAATGATATTTTATTCTCACAGGAGTTATTTAGAATATTGATAGGTTCAGATCCAATGGAATGATAGTAAGCAATGGTTCATGGACCATGGCAAACAAGCATGAGTTAGACAAAGGGGAAATATGGTAGAATTAAACAAGTCCAGAAATATCATGCTCTGCACCAAGTGGTATGACTGAAAGGACTATGTCTTTATTGAGTTCTGTGTTGAAGACAGTAAAGATGTTAATGTAAATATAGAGCTGCCAGCTCAGAATACATACATAAGAGTAAATGGGACCTGGTCAACATTACTCCTGTAATGAGGAGTGCTTCCTACAGTTGAAACCCATGACACAATCATTACCATAAAAATCAATATGTTTGTTAGTAAATTGGAAGAATGACATATCCCAGGATAATTTCTATATGCTGTAAAAAGCTGGAATCAATGCCCGAGTTGTTGCAGAGAAAAGCAATTGTTTATTGTTGCCATACTTTCTTCTGCTCTAAATATTACTGTCTCAATCACACTTCTGCACTGCCAGGAAGGCTCAGTCCTGCCAGGAAGTCCCAACCCCTTGACTCCTAGTAGTAATGACTATAAACTTTCATTAAAGTTGCATAAACAAGCAATTGCAGGGACTTTGCCCCAAATACCAAAGTCTCCCTGCTGTGCAATCATCGCCTTCAGCCTCCTTTTCCCGCTCAAGTAGCCCATATCTCATGCCAAGAATATGGCATACCATTTCGGCTTATAGATTATTTAAATGCACTCCACTGTCCCATCTTCCTGGCAAAATAACATTGTAAGCATGGGAATAGGGCAGGGATAGAAGGGGAGATAAAATCAACAGCAACAATATCTGTTGCAACAAATCTGTCAAAAGAATCTTGAGCAAATATTTTACAACAAGAGACAATATAATCCCAAGATGTACAGGACTGTTTTTATTCCAGGAAGGGAAGCTAATTCATTTTCTCAACCTCTGAACTGCCTGTTCTTTGCAACTTCTCTCTAGATTTATTAGCATGCACTATTTTGAAAAATGTGAGAAGTATACAGTTAACAAGAGATGACATGCAACCCAATCAATTAATCTTTCTCCTGTTTTCTTTTTTTAAAGCAGCAGTGAAAGCTGATCTTCTTAATTTTTTTCCTCCTAAGCTGCTGTTTTTCATCACAGAGAAGCACAACATGTAGCTTTCTCCCTGTAAATACAAAATCAACCAGGAAGAACTTTTAACAAAACAGATTGGGAGGCAGTTAGATATATCTCCTCCTGCACAACTTTGTTCCTTGTTGTAAGATTTGAAGATGATTTCCACTAGAAAATAAAATCAATGAGATACACGCAGCCACGTGTCGCGTATCACATCTCGTCCTTAGGATTCCATTTGCAAAGCACAGTGACACAACTCCGTTCTTTCTGAAGATCCTGAGAAGTATATGACTGGGACAATGCAGATATTATCCGATATCTGAAACTGACTGACTGCAGCACGTGTCTTCTTAGAAATTAATGAGAGATGATGTTTCCATATGCAAAACATCAGCCACATCATTCTGCAGGGAGCAGAAAGCCGGATGCTCCCAGTTCAAGATCCATTTACCCTAAAAGACACAATGTTCTTACAAGTCAAAGTTCTTTGCTGCATTGCATAGGATTGTACTGAATAGTACACTATAGCTGAACAGTTCAAATAAGCCAGTTTGACTGTGCTTTTTGAGGATTTAATCAGACCCTAGAAGAGAAGGAAATGATATAATAAGAAAACATAAATGGTAGATTAAGTCAGTGGTTCTGAATATTTTACTCAAACAACATTTATGTACGAAATGCTTCCCCTATCTTTCAACATAACTTACAACATGAAGCTTGCAACAGCAACAAAAGCAGTGATAAAATGCTTGACGTGTAATATTAACCATTCTTTATATTCCCATCTTGAAAAGGTTATTGAGAAAACATACTATATTTCAATTATGGGTTCAGAGCTGGGCAACAGAAATGGCTTTGGTTGCTTCAGCAGCTGATCTAGGCTGGAAGAACACCAATGAAAAGCTAATTCTACTCTGCTCTCGGTGTCTTTCACTACAGCTTGTGTATCTCGTATTCACCGATCCAAAATCTGAAATAACTTAAATTCCAAAATTGAGATAGTGAAACCTTTGCTTTCTGATTGCTTGATATACATAAACTCAATCATAACATTTTTTAATAAGTAGGAGAATTTATTAATGTCTAGGGAGTTTCAATCAGCAAGGTTTGCAAAATTAGTGCTGTACATTTTGAAGATTTCACTATGACTTCGCTGTAGAAATGAATGAGTCCATTAGACATAAAATCATGTTGTCTTCTGCAATGTTTTCACTCCATCAGGTTCAGATGAAATTCACACGTATTTTGTTTGTTTTTTTTTAAAAAAATATTATTGCCATATAGCAGATTTTACATACTAGTAAAGAAGAACAAAATAACCCCGATATGCAAATACATTTTTTGATTTCAGGATTTTGAAAATTGAGATGTGCATTAGATTCGATGTACATCTCAATGGCACATTAGATTCTCATAGATACGAGTAATATCCCTATTTTCACTGTCCTTTCTTGGACACCTTTGCAGTTATTAACATCTCAGTGGATTCTAGGGAACAAAGTGAATGCTTACCATAATGACAGCCATTCTAACATCTTCTTTGGAATATACAGCTCTACTACACAATATTCCATAAATTCAGTTCCCTTAAATCAATGGTTCTCAACCTGTGGGTCCCCAGATGTTTTGGCCTTCAACTCCCAGAAATCCTAACAGCTGGTAAACTGGCTGGGATTTCTGGGAGTTGTAGGCCAAAACACCTGGGACCCACAGGTTGAGAACCACTGCAAGTACTTCAGCACTGATGAGACTGCTTTCACACAGTAAGTAAGAAGTGGAACAATCGTAAATGTGATGCAAAGCTCATCACTTTGGGATGGGAGCAAAGTATCAGCAGTGCCCATAGTTGGCAGGTCTCATCACTTTTCCAGGGATCCCTGTGTGTGTTTGGGGGGGGGGGACTTATCTCAAACCATTTGTGGTACCAGCCAATGAGTCTAAAGTTGCTGGACTCTCATTGGCTGGTGGATTCCAATAACCCAGCTGATGTGACCTGAATGAGAAGTTTTCACTCCATTCTTGGAAGCTGAGTACTCCAGAGTCCTAGCCAGAGAGAAAGTTCAATCCAAGCTTAATCCCACTCTACTTCACTTTGTTTCGGCTATTGTGAAGTGTATGCATGCGTTGGCCACCCTGCTGCAACTTTGGAGATGGATGGGATGGGTTGTGGATCTAGGATATGGTTATCGGTGTCTGTCAGGTACTGGAATTGAATGGGATTCTCTTAAGGAATTTGGGGTGTGTGGAAATGGTCTTGCCCAGCTGTGGGCAGACACTTTGCTTATAACCCTTGGAAGTGGCAAGTATACTGGGGAGCTGCCCAGCTGGGTCATTCTGGGCCATACCAAGGAATCCAGTATGGCTATGGAGGTTCACAGATTAAGTGGCAGGTTGGTCGATGCCTGGATCCAGACTTATGTGGATGTCAACCCCATCAACAGTTGTAATCAAATAAAGTTGTGGCCTATTTCTTCCACTTAATTACAGTATGTCTATCTGGTCTATAGATTACTATGGCATGAATCTTGTCCTTGAGCAAACAACTACGGGGCACTAAATACCATGCCATGTTCTCCCTTAAATTATAGCATTTCCTGATTTCTAATTTATTTATTTATTCATATCCTACTTGTCTCCCATGGGTGAGATTCAAAGCCAATTATCCCCCCTGCCTTCACTGCAGAGAACCTGACAGCCACCTTTGCCCGTTACCTCTTCACAGCACTATTTCCCAATGTTGGAGGGTTGGTTCTTTGGGGTTGGTTCTTCATCCGCGAGACCATCAGAAGGTCCTGCAAACTGTGCTGTTGAACCACTTGCTGTTGAACACGGATGTGACTACTGTAGTACTTTCTCGACTTCCTGCAAGAAGCTGTCCTGGTGTCCAGAATTTCTCTTGGGAGAGAAGCACTTTCTATGTAACAAAAACACACAAGATGTGTATATTGTGCTTCAACATACCCAGCAACACAGCAAAAGTGGTTTTTTTGAAAAAGAAAAAACCAACAACTTTGATTTTAGAGTAATAAAAATAACTGGTGAGTAGGAGTAATACACCACTCCAAGACCATGCTTATGATGATTTTGGCTCCCTATTTTCATTCCACCTCATTCTTTTTCACCTGCAAAATCACCTGAAGGACTGATTCCAGTTTTTGTGGAGACTGCAGATGTCTTCAGTTTCATTTTCACTAATGGGATCTAAGTTCCTAAACTGAAGCAACTCTATAACCTACCTTTCGCTGGGGACAGAACTGTAAAAGCAAATCTTCAGAGTCAGGGTTGATCATATTATGTTACATGAAGCAGGAGTTGCCCAGATATTTTACTGATAATGTCAAGGTATGGTCTAGGTCAGGCATGGGCAAACTTTGGCCCTCCAGTTATTCTTGACTTCAACATTTTGGCTGTTAGGAATTGTGGGAGTTGAAGTCCAAAACACCTGGAGGGCCAACGTTTGCCCATGCCTGGTCTAGGTGTCCAGTAATGCTAAAGAACTCTCTTGAGCAAACTCCACCAACACGATAATACACAGAATTAGAATGTGATATCATGCAAACAAATTCTGACTTACACACTCTCCCACTCCATCCCATCTTTCAGAATAGTACCACAGAATCAAAACTTTTAAGTTTTAAAGTAAGTAATTCTCTATGATGTAAAAACTGAATAAATTCTGGTAAGTTTAAACTGTTGTTAGTAAAGCTAGGAATCAACCATTCAATCTTAGCTTATTTAGCATAGTTTAAACTAAACAGAGATTCCAGAAATGTGGTCACCGTGATATAAAGAAAGTAAAGTCTTTGATTTTTTTCTTCCACCTGGAGACATGCCAAAGGTATGTTCTGAGTCATGCACATAACCATAAACCAAACTTTATGTCATATTAAAAAATCCGAAAATGTGAAATCCCTTGGCAGACCTACTCAGTACCACCTACTACAATGTAGTCTGAGCCCTGCCATATGCAACTTCTTACAGGAACACCAGAGGTACTCCAAGTGGCCAGCTACAGGTCAAAGGTCATTTAGTATAAATGTGTTTTTAAATACATTACAACTGTACCCTCAATTCACTTCTGACATGATAAATAAATAAGTACACTTTTCCCTCATGGTGTTTGGGGTGGGGGAAAATTGACCAGGGATGTTAGGGTGGATTTCACCCATGTACAGAGAGCACTATGAATCTCACCAATGAGGGATCTTGACCAAACTTGGCACACATACCTAACATTACCAACTTTAAATACTAGTGTAATTTGGAGCAATGACAGATGATGATGTGAGTGGTAGTTCACTCACATCCTTATGCATTTTTCTATTGGGGCTATTGATAAAATCCAAAAGCAAACAACGAAATTGCCTCTAGAACATGGCAATATAGCCCGAAAAATCCTACAACAACCCAAACAATGAAATTATTTATAAATAGCATTACAATTTACGTATCTAACCTGGGGATCATCAGTTACCTAAGCTAGATCTAAATAAATCAGACATTTCTGTCCACTGTCTTACATACTGTTGGATCAGCTTTGCTACAAATGCTGCAATCAACTCTTCAGTTTCAACAGTCATATAGACCCCTCAGCTGCCAGAATGAGAATAAAAATGGCACTCACGTGCTCGGTTGGTGAGGTGATGAGAGTGACCTTGCAAGAGAAGCTTGAAGTTTTTCTCCACTGGTATGTGATTCAGCTTGCTGAAGAACTCTGAGATCATGATGGATTTATTTTCTTGTTCATTCTCAGATAATTTAATTCCCGCTGTCTGTTCAGCAGAGGAGGAGGAGGCTGCACGTCCTGTAAGATGAAACCGGAAGGACTCTTCTCCAAATGGACGAAAACTTTTAATAGTCAGAACATTCCGGCAAGCCATCCTTGCTGGTGTTGTACTTTTTGCACGAGGTCGGGTCATTGCTGGAAAATGTTTGTGAGGATATGGGCTTTGTTTACCACACGCTTTTGAATATTCATTTGGTAGCTGGAGCTGGTAAGGGAGTGAAGGAAGGTCTGTAAAAGAGTTCCTGCTCTAGATACTTGACAACTTCAATAATAATAATAATAATAATAATAATAATAATAACAACAACAACAACAACAACAACAACAACCCAGTTGGCAGAAAACCAAGAGTTCCTTGTATACTGCTTACATTCAAACCTATAATTCAAACAAATAATTAATGGGGCAAAATTCATATTGCTGATTAATCCAGGATGGCTACTAATGTGTTTACATCCAGACAATACTTGCAACCAATGTAAAAACCATAAAACTAAGATATTTAATTTGGAGGGCCTTTGAACCTTAGTGCTCTTGTTATTTACGTACTATATTTTGCTGCTTCTGTAGTTGTACCCACTCTACAATTTTCGCAGATGGGGAATAATAATAACAATAAAAAGGCCACAGTACTAATGGGGAGGGGGGGTTAACCATTAAGGACCAAAGCAGTGCCTGGAAAAGCACTGGGATTCGAAACGCAATACAATAATTTGCAGCATAGGCAGAGCTTAGTAAAGGTACTAGAGTTGTACTTGCAGTATCCAGAATCCCACTCCACCACATCCACAAACATAGCTGGGGTTTTGGCAACTATTTTTCCCAGTGTGACTTCTCAAAGTCTGAACACAGTTCTGTTACTTACTGTAGGGTTCACACTCATGTCTGTTGCAGAGTGATGGCAACTAATGGTATCCCTCAGTTCTGGATTTGAATTGTACTGCTCTGGCGTATTGGATGAGTTCCCTCTGGAAAGGTCAGGCACAGAGCTGTAAGGTCTCACAGGCAGTTTTTTGGGGATCCATGAGCAGTTATTGGACTCACGGTTCTCAGGATGGCCAATCTTAGGATCCACTTTTTCCTCAGATTGTGGCATCTCTGAAAAATGTTTAAGCAGGAACGCAGGCCTAGGGCTAGACTCTGTGGAAACCTGATGATGAACAGAAAGAGAAAAGAAAACAAAACAATATGAAGGAAGGAAGTGAGAAGCTTTGATATGCAACAGAGTTTGGAAAAGCCAGGTTGTTGTAGGTTTTTTGGGCTGTATGGCCATGTTCTAGAAGCATTCTCTCCTGACATTTCACCTGCTCTATGGCAGGCATCCTCAGAGCTTGTGAGGTCTGAAAAAGCTATCATTTGAAAAAGCTACCATTTAGACTACAACTTTCAGACCTCCCAGCCAGCAACTGTCCCAAAACATCTTTAACAGCCATGATACAATGTTATTCACTGGGTTAGTTAGGCTGGAATGACCTTCCCAAACTCACTAACTTAAGAGATACACACATTCAGGTCAGTCCAGTTCCTTCTCTTGTTCAGTAAACACATCATACAGGCCTACAGTATAGCCTACATATCCTCCAATTGTCCCATTTGGAACAGTTGTGCAAAATTGAGTTCAAAGTGCAAAAGTAGTTTGCATGTTAGCTCTGTAGGGAGAAGAACAGAAGAGAAGAAGGTACAGAATCCTTCCCTTTCCCTGTAAACTTAGGCAAGAGAAAACTGATGCAGCATCTCATAGCTCATGCATTCTTCCTTAGTACTAAGCTTTGCCATCCTAACCACACCATAAGCTAAACATTTCTAATGGCGATCTGAACATGTGTTACCAATCAACAGCAGAGAGCGTTCAAGATGTCCAAAAAATGTGAGGAAGAACAAATGATCTAGGAAAGCCTACAGCAATTTGCTTTTGCATGAGCCTAAGGGAAGGGATTCAAACCCACTCTTCCCTTCTCCTGCTGCTCAGATAATTGTGCAAAAATACCTTTGCAGTTTGGACTCAATTTGGAGCAACTGATATAAGCCAAGGGTGAATAATAATAATAATAATAATAATAATAATAATAATAATAATTATTATTATTATTATTATTATTATTATTATTTATATTCTGCCCTATCTCCCCAGGAAGCAAGAAGAGGAGAAACTGAGATAATATAAAAACAGCTGAAAATATGGAAAGGCAGGTGTTTACTTGGGACTATCTCTGCCAAAGCAATACAATTGGAAGGTATGCCACACTCTGATCTTTCCTGGTTCCATGTGCCTGGTTTTCAACTTAAAATGCTGGAAGATGCAGACAAGCCTTCTGCTATTCAGAGGGTATACGCTGAAACTTTGAAGAATGAGAAGAAAAGATCTCACATTTTGATATCAATCTCTAACTGCTAGCAACATTATCTCTTCTTTGATTTCAAGCTACCTCCAGTCAGCTTTCAGGGATAAAATATCCAAAGCTCTATTTATTTGCCAGGATGTGGGCATAAAACCACAGCATACCTCAACCTTTCTGACATATAATGAGCTTCAGTCTCATTCATCCCAAGTATCTAGGGCATGGAATGCATGAAAATTGAGGAGGCCACATGAAGCATCTAACTTCTTACAGGTTCACATGAGCCCTGCCCAACTGGAGACTGAAATTTTACTACTTTTAATATCAAGTAGTAGTAATAGCAATACTGTGCAATACAGATGTATGTGTGTACCCATCTGAAACAAGGAATAAAACTACAGTGAGCTGTCCCCAAATGTATTAGGATGCATTAATTCTTGTTCCTCCATCTCGTCCATATCTCCCCAGTGTTCCTCATTTCTCTCATCTTTGTAACCCTTCACTTCTTTTCCTAATTGCCCTAGCAAAATAAAGATGTATAGTAAGGTTCTGTAAAATGTTATGTACCTGAATAGTGAGGTACAAATAACAAATTAAGGTAAGTTTGAAAGTAAAGGAAGAGGTAAGAGACTAACACAACTGTGAAGTATAGTGTGGGCAACCCCACACTATCAGTACTATGAAAAAGTTTGGTGTCATCTAGAACATTTGACTTTTCAGTAGCAAATCTTTATTAATTTCCACTGAATTCTATCACATAATAATAAACTTTATTTATATCCCACTCCCTTTCCCCAAAGGGACTTGGAACAGCTCGCAATCCAAAAACAATATACATAATATTAAACGGAAGGCTGTAAATCAAAGAGAAAACATACTAAATTAAGGATGAAAAAATGCAATTTTATCTTAGGGTGGCATTCTCTGGTGTTTTATTTGTTTCTTTGTTTTAGTCCTTCCAACTGATTTATGAAAGCAAAATTAAAGGGACTTTCCAAACTGTTTACCAATGAGAGGAAAGCCCCATGAAAAATGTTTCTCCACCTTTCTTACCTGGGCAGAAGCAGGCGCCATCCTTGTTCTGTCTGCCACCTTGCGCCTGGCAGCCTTTATCTTCTCTCCATTAGACTCTCCCTGAAGCTCAGCCTTCTTTTCTCTCATCATAATTGTTTTTTGCTCCTGCTTCAGACGTAGGTCCTGGAGCTGCTGCCTATGGATTGATGTTGGAAATATTTTTCCTTATTTTTAATGTATTGTTTATTACTATTGTATTGCAGGCATTACATGTTTTATTCACAGTAAAATGTAATATGGTAGTACAATCCCCCATCCCAAATCCGGTCTTCTTGGTTGGCTTTCCATTTTCTAGGTAGGAGACATTACTTCTTTGAACATAGATAACAAATATCTTCCAACTGCTCAGTGATAAGTTGAACCCTCTAGCTAAATGTTGTTTGTAGATATTTCTAATGTCAAATTACTCTTGCTTCAAACTTATTTGAAGCCCTTGAGATGGATTGATGTTGAATTGTTTATTTATTAGCCACCCTGAGTCCCTCCGGAGAGAGAGAGTGGGTTAAAAATAAAGATGATAATGATGACTATTATTATTGGATTGTTGTAGGGTTTTTTTGGGCTATATGGCCATGTTCTAGAGGCATTTTGACATTTCACCTCCATCTGTGGCAAGCATCCTCAGAGGTTGTGAGGACCTCACAACCTCTGAGGATGCTTGCCATAGATGCAGGTAAAACGTCAGGAGAGAATGCCTCTAGAACATGGCCATATAGTCCAAAAAAAACCTACAACAACCCAGTGATTCCGGCCATGAAAGTCTTCGATAATACTATTATTATTATTTCTCTCAACTTGATAGGACCCTTATAATGGCCCAAATAGCCCAACATGTTACTTAAAAATGAACTAAAATAGTAAGAGCGCATACACAAAAGTATCAAATGCTTATACTGTTTTAAGAAACAAGTGCCATACAAAATGGTTCAATTGTGCCTGCCTCCCAGAAACTCAAACCAGATGGAGTTTACCTGATTTCCATGAGAAGGGGGACCACAACCAAAGTACTACTGCAGGGAGAGCCCTGCCTTATATACTTACCAATCTGGTCTCCAGGGCTGATGGAACATATAACATGGTCTCTCTACTAAGAAACTCAAATTCTGGACATGCTTATATGAGAAGAAATTGACTTTCAGATATTCTAGATCCAGGCCATTTAAGCTTTGTAGGTCTAACTCAACATCTTTAACTCAACTGTATTTGGAAGAAAATTGGAAGCTGGTTTAAAACTAAAGATATCTGGTCTGGAAAACAGAAACCAGACAATAGCCTGGAAATTAGCATGTGCTACCTAGCGCTACTGAAATTAAATTAGAAGGCTTGTTTTTCAAGGTTTCAAATTGCTTTGTTTCATTTTTTCTGGCTGGAATGGATTTAATCCCCCCCCCCCCCAATTCTCTTCAACTTTATAGGTATTCATTGTATGTGACACCCAACAAGAGTGGTAAAAATGATTTCTATTGGCAATAAAGGTAGAAGGATGCACCAAAAGATAATCTAATCCCATTAAACGATCATTTTAGTATAATAGTCCCTGTCAACCTTTCTAAGCCTGGTAACCTACAAAAGCAATGGATTGCAACTGTTACCATTTCCATCTAGTATGACCATTGGAGGGCATTAGTGGACAAAGACAGTCCCATACCTAGAGCATCCAGTTTTCTTAACATTTCCAAAACCAGATCAAGAACATTCTTCCTAAACAACTTCCCTTGTTGCTTATATAAGGGTGGCAAATTATTATACAAGTTTAATATCCTTGACCAAAATGCTTGGGACCAGAATTGTTTTGGATTTCAGATTTTTTTTCAGAATTTGAAATATCTGTATTTGCATATATGTGCATATTAAGGTATCTTGGAGATGGGACCCAAGCCAAAACTAAAAATTCATCTGTTTCGTACGCACATTATACACATAGCCAAAAAGAAATTTTATGTACAGTATTTTAAATAATTTTGTGCAAAAAGCAAAGTTTGTGTACATTGATGTTTAAGAAAAGCAAAGGTGCATCTATCTCAGCCACTTGCTTGCTGTATTTCAGATTTTGGAACTCTGGATAACGGATGCTCAGTCTGAATTTTAAAAGTCGCTATCTACTTGAACTGATGTTTGCAATTAAAGTGGTGTCAACTTATATAAATTCTACAGTGCAGATGTCTGGTCTTGTATCCATTTCCCTGCAAGGGAAGGTATCATAATAATGCACTATCCACCATGGTCACTGTCCACTTTCTTTGTGATGCAGCTTTGTCAGAAATGTTGTAAATGGATGAGAAAATGAAATACACTGTTATGGTGATGCAGTGTATTAGAGGTCTTTACATAGAGGTAGAATTGGCATCTTTCAGGACTGCTTTGATTGGATCTCCCTGCATGGCTACTTTAGGCTAGATGTGTCTTGCATCCTCTTCCAACTCTATAATTCTTCTAAGGGACAGTGAAATACGTGTGTGAGAGAGAATGCACATCTAAGGCTGTTAACATTAATGGGCTTCTGTTACCATTAAATTGTAAAGCAATATAATAACATTAATAATTTCAATGAAAAAACCATAAAACTGTTAGCAACATAAATGTTTTAGCTTTTTAAAAAGGTAACCCAATTATTAAGACATCTCACAACTCCTCTCCCAAAATTAAAGAATTGCGGTACTGTAAAATAAAACAATTACTCAATCTATCAATTTTGTTGCCATTATGATGAATAAAGTAAGGACTTCATCAATATAAAAATTATCTAGGTTTTCACTAATTCCAGTTTCTCTCTACACAGGAGGTCAACATTAAGGGTGAAATCTAATGTTAATCATGCCTAAAACAGATCACTGAAATTAACAAGATTTAATGTTAGTTGTGATTAATAAATCCTACTCTTCTGAATGTTCTATTATAAGTAAGATTAACTCTGGATTCATCTCAATATTTGAACACACATAACACACCCAGCAACTTATCTGCCTCTCATTTTGCCATTATAGATGAAGATTGCTATTGCTAAGTGCCTTCAAGTCAACTTCTATCATATGGCTTTCTTGGCAACATTTCTTCAGAGGTTTGCCACTGTCTACCTCATAGTCTGAGTGAGTGAGACCTGCTCAAGGGTGGGTTTCCATGGCTGAGATGGGATACAAACATGGGTCTCCCAAAGACCTTGTTCAACACTCAAACCACTGCATCACAATTATGTGTATATCTTCGTGATGAAGATACATGGACCTAAATCAAAGCACTAGTCCTCACTAGCCCACCGAAGGTGTACGCTTCATATAGGTGTCAATTTACCATTCAGCAATAGATTCAGTGGGTCTGCTCTAGCAGAAATTAGCAGCTGATTTAGGCAAGGATGGTGATGCCAGAAAATATCCAATGTACTCCAGAAAATGCTGTACTGTATTTGTAAATCTGTGCCATCCCCTCCTTGTCCTCAGCTGTTTTAAAAGGATCCCTCACCTCACATAAAGTTTGGTTAGACTCTGCAGTTTGAACACAAAATTCCTCTGTATCGTTGCTATCAAATTTCCAGTTTCCTGTTAGACTGTGGAGTCTAATTGTCATTTTGAAATGTAACTCTAAGCAACACACGCAAACGGAAAATGCACAGGTGTGCTTTGGTAATGGTGTACACCAGACATATGAATTACTATCACAAACTACTACTGTGTAGCTTCCTCTGCTCCTGGACTTGAAATAATCCTGTAGTTATTGGTAAACAGAGGTCAACCAATGTCAGATAGGCTTACTAGTCAATCACAGTTCATAATTGCTTCTTTCCCTTCTCCTGAGTATTTTATGTGTGCCCAACTCTGGCGCAATTCGTGCCTAAATATGGCCACTGAGAAGTTAACGCATAGTCTTAGGCAATTGCTCAGAAGGACTAAGGTGAGAGAAATGCTAAAAATGTTGGGGTCAGGGCTGAAGGGCCTTTGGGAATGCTGAACTGCTTGGTATTAGAAATGCTGCTGTTCTGCTATTCAACAATTAATCTGACTAAATAGTTAGTGGACAAATATATGAAAAAGTGTGCCTTTCTCGAGTGCTCTAACCATCACAAGAAAGTTAAACCCAGTAAAGATGCTTGAAGCCATACTTGTCACAACCTGCTGTCCAGGACGCCTATGAATATGGCCCGACACAAAATCGTAAACTTACTTAAAACATTATAATTTATTTTGTAACTTGACTGCACGGTTTTCAACCATGTACTTTGTAGATGACAAATGAATGGAATGCAGTATTCAGCATCTGTTATGTCTACAAAAATCAGAGTATTGCACATTATAATTGCAAACAGTTCAATCAGAAGACCTGCTCAACAATTGTAAAAGACCCTCCAAGCAGGGCGGTGCACAATTAGGATTATTACACAACTACTTTTTTTTTTTGCTTATCTATGATAGTGGATATCATGAACATGATGCGTGGACCCTTTTTTGGTTGTTGTACAAATGTGATCCAGGGAAACCAAAAATGTGGACACCCCTGCTTTAAAATGAGAGGATGAATGGCTATTTAGCAATATTATAATAGAATAGCGAAAACAATAACACGGACTTGGAAGGACTTGTTTTCTTTCTAAAACTCTCCTCACACTATAAAGAAAATAGTCCACAAAAGGCTCTTTCCTACCTGGCGTACTCTTCACGTGCTCTGGAAGCTGCTGTTTCTTGGAAGAGTGAATTATTGTGTTGGAAAAATTTATCATATTTCTCTGAATCAGAACTGGGATAAATTCGGCGATACCCTCCTGTGTTTTTTTCCTCGTATTTCTCCGCTTCCTGGAGCCAAGCAGCTTGGCAGTTCTTGTTTTCCCCGGCCCTGATAAAAACCACCCAAGTAAAACTGTTAACAACCCCAGAAAAAATGTCCACAGTGAGAGATTTCCCTATTTGGTTTTCATAGTGCCATTTCAATCCTTAAATCATGTCTCCCAAAGGCTACAAGCTGAGGCAAGATTTCTTCATACAGATTTTAAACAAAGTTCAGAGATGCAGACACCTCATGTTGTATGTGTGTGTGTGTGTCTCATTTACTCCACACAGGTACAGACATCTCAGAAGCAAACAGGAATATGTATAGCTTAGCCTTCATCTTGCCTTTCTTCCCTTCCTTGGTGAGACACAAACAAAGAAAACAAAAGTCTATCTGAGCAAATTGCACTGCAAGATGGGAACTCAGGGCTCTTGTTCTTTCTTATTTCCTTACAAAAAATAAAATAAGGTGGACGGAAACATGTTGCCAAAATCCATGGCAAGAATTTGCACTCTGGCTTGCTTCTTCTTTTTATTTAACCTTTTATTTATTTAACCTTTTTATTTAACCTAAGCCCGCTGCAAACGTGAGTGAAAACTAGAGCACATAAATAATCTTTGGAAAATAGTAAACAAAGCACACATGTAAACTTGCATACATTTAGTGGCATATATTTATGCATTCTTTATACCTTCTAAACCACTCAGAAACCTATAATAAACTATGGATAACAGAGCAGATGTATATATATATATTTAATATTTCTGTATTTTTAAAATTTACATTTTAAAATGTTTAAACACAGAATTCAGTGTCCGTATCTCTGCACCAACCATTCTGTTCAGAGTCCTGCACTGAAATATTTACAGAAATTGTCAGTTTCCTCTTACATATTCCCTAGTTTTGCTGAAGGCTGTGAAGAAATCCTACATTCCTTTAAAAATTAGGACAGCAAGGACCAAAAAAGGGAGATGTTTTGACACTAAAGTTGTGTTCTGAAAGACTAAACAAATCGGGCCTTATGACACATCTGTTCATACTGGTAACTAAAACACTACGAAACCTGCTTCATCTTCTAATATTAGTCGAACACTTTCAGCATTCACATGTAATTTCATTTTATCAGAAGAAATAATAAAATAATTTTTTTTGTTTGGTAATTCACCATCACCACTTTCTGCTTTTGCTCCATACATTCTAGCAGTTGTATGGTGATAGGATGCACACATGTACCACCATTTTAGGAAGATAAAAAAAAATACAAAACCCAAGCCTGACTCTGTGGGACAAAAAAGGACATATGTCTGTGAGAAAAAATATCAGCGCACTTGGCAGAATCACTGTCAATAAAGGGAAGGACAAAACTAAAGCAAAAGGGAACATAAAATTTGGCTGGTCACATTTATCAGCTTGTGAACAATACATATGTACCTAAATGGATTTCTGTGTGTTCCCTTCTTTTAAAAAAACCCCCCATATATGTGATGCCATGTATTCCCTATATTTTAGCTACTGCTGTTATGCAATAATCTGATTGGTAATAATAATAATAATAATAATAATAATAATAGTGTATTTATTATATATTTATTATTATATTATTATTTATTATTATATATCTCGTTTGCTGTGACATACTGTGTTTTTGTGTCAGTAAAATAATAATAATAATAATAATAATAATAATAATAATTTATTTCTACCCCGTCACCATCTCCCCGAAGGGACTCGGGGCAGCTAACAAAATACAGCGAAGTGCCGCATATTAAGAATACATAAAACATGATGCAACAGGATATCTTCAATTAATCCAACAATGCAAGCTGAATAGGAATGACACTATGGGTAAGTGGTATTACATATTATGGAAGGGAAAAGGGAACAAGATCTCTTGCTCTCATTTCACCAATAACCATGTATGTTTAATAGTGTCTAATTCTAGTCTGAATTACTAAATATGTCTAAGTTCAGCATACACTTTTAATTTCATTCTATGACTTTTTGTTTCAAGACACTGTTACTCATACTGAATTAACATGGAAACTAAATGATTAAAAAGTTGCATCTAAATTATGCAACATCTGCACTCTCAAAAACTCATGCCTCCAAATCTGCTGCATTTAGAGATATTTTGTAAGAGATTTACAAATGTTACACAACCTCAGAAAATAATAGGACATGAAAAGCTCACACCTTGCTTCTTGATTACAGCACTGCTTAAGAAGCCTCTCCTTTCCTCGCCGTTTCTCTTCTTCCAAAACTTTCCGTTTATCACATGCCCCCAAGTTGATCAGAACTAGAGTGTCATACAAGAGTTGGTCTTTGACTTCTCTGTCTAGCCACGAATCTGTACTAAAGCTCGGAGAATGATTCACCTAAAATTAGAAGAATCACAAATGCACCTATCTGCATGTGCTGCGGTTTGAAATATAAAGAAAAGCATCACTTGGAGAAGAACACTAAAATGAAGAAATCAAGCAAAAGTCTAGATTGAATTCTTACAATGAATTAAATCCACTGCCTTCAAGGTATATTCTGATCTTCACGATTATCAACCACAATAGTTAACACGAACAAGAGAAACGCACACCAAGATACATTTAGCGGCGACTCCACAAGTGCAGCGGTTGGTTCAAGAGATTTACCAATGTATGAACATCTTTCTAAAGCTAGATATTTACTTACTTATCACATTTTGACATTTATTTATTTATTTACTACATTTATATTCTGCCTTTCTCCCCCTAAGGGAACTCAAAGCGGTTTCCAACATTACAAAGGCAAAATTCAATGCCATACATACATGTGAAAACCAAAAGATAATAGTAAGACAATAACACGTGCCTATAAATTAACCTAATACTAATACTAAAGCATCTTCCTGAGTTGGCTGCAGGATCTTCCTATTCTGACTTTTCACAGTTTGAATTAAGTCACCGCTAACAATTGCTTAGTTGGATCTAACCAGAGGTTCTGCAGCATCTTTTACAGGTGAACGAATACGTTATTTTAAAATCAGAAGCTCGTGTTATAATAAAAGGTACACATCTTTAAGGTGCCATAAGATCTTCTGTTGTTTTATTGTAACAAAATGAAACAGTTACCTTTTAGATACTGTTAGGCTGAACGGCAAGCTTGTTGGATTCTTGTGAGAAATTTGCTTAATTATTGTGAAGTTTTTATAGTAGAAGTAACTAATAACTACATTTCAGAATTAATACTTTGATGGCATTATTATTCAAAGGTAGATTAATTTGAATTCCATATAGAAGATTAACTACATTTCAATAATATAGGCCTTAATTCAATTGCTAGTTTGTACTACAGTAGTCTCATTGAATAAATTGTGTTTACACAAGTATTGTCTTGCCAAATTCCCAACATTTAACTGGGTTTGCTGGAACTAGCAATTCCATTGAATTCTAAGCAACAAACTGCCACAAAACATTAAATTTATTTAGATAAAGAATGATAGTTTGAAATTGTAGATGTTCCCAAAAACAATGCAAGTATAGTTAGTTAGGAAATTGTTTAATTACAGATTTATTTTTTATTGACTGAAGATAAGAGCCGTTCAAAGGCCACTAAATGCAATTTGGATCATTTAATTAAAATGACTATATGCCTGATAAAAACAAATATTTCATAAAGCATTTATTGTTAAATCATAATAAAATTCTTCCTCTCCGGAATAGAGATTTTTACAATCATGGTTAGAAAAGCAGGAAGTATTTTCACTTTTTTTTTTTAGCTCAAAGATTTGCGCGCACACACACAACTATATAGATGCTTTTCGATTAAATTTGAATTTCGATCTACAATGGAAATATATCATATTTTATTGTCTTTTATATAGTCTTCTGTATGCTTAATCGCTTTAATCTAATTAGCAACAATATATTCAGTATAATCTATATTTTAATGGGGCATTTCATTTTGCTGGGTTTGTTCTATCGCTCCATGGGAGATGCTTGAAATCTAAATAAACAGGAACCAACCAAATCAGGAGCTTCTGGTATGATAATTAAACTATGGGTTTGAAGTAAATAAAGGAAATGTTTCTATAAATGAGATGTTACCAGATACCATAGGACAGTGTGTGGACAGCTAGCTTAAACTGTGAATTTGTGGTCGTATGAAGGTGAGGGCATGACTTTTAAAAGCACTGCCTCAGATAACCAGATCTGGGACATTAAGAATTGATACTGCCTGACACTAGTAGAAGGCGGGAAGCATCAACTATCCTGGTGAACTATTGCTGAGACTCAATTTGTCCAATGCTATGTTTTAAATCCTCCTACAAGAGTTGCTTGCATGCAACCAATTGACTGGAAATTCCAGTGTGGCACAGTATAATTGACTTTAAAAAAAATAAAACAAAGCATTTCCTGTAGTCTAGTGCCCTCTGCTGGGAACCTTTAAGATTGGAAGACTTGCCAGAGAGTACAGGTTGGTCTGCCAACAAAATGACAGAAGGAAAGAGCTTTGAACAAAGGAGTCTAGGAAATCAGCTACTTTTATTCCCCCAAAGAAAGCTAGGAGAGAAGGAGCAGCAACATTTTAGAGTCTAAGACAGGGCTCCTTTGCTTTGTAAGAACATACCTCAAGCAGCCATGGTTTCAGCTTTCGATCTAGCAAAATATCAAATCCTAAGATCTCAAAGCAAGCACACCACAGGGTGTGGTTGGGGAAGCAGGTAAGATAGTTATGTTTGATGATAGGATGAGCCGATATCAGCGTTTTAATAACGACCTCTTCAATGTCCTTCCACAGCTTGTCAATCTCGTAGCCATGTTGTTCCATGTATTTATTAAACGTCGACAACTTCCTTTGAAAATGAGATCAGAAAAGAGTGAGGTGATACATGTGATAGTGTTCCTGCATACACATATTGCTTTGAGAATCTTTTCGAGTAAGGAACAAATGTCCCAGGAAGTGGTAGCATTTTGTTGCTATTTGCTTCTTTTAAAAAGCCAAATGATGTTGAGCCAGTTGAAAAATGCTATTTCCCTTCTTTTTCTGCTGTATTAAAAGGGGTAAAGGTTTCCCCTTGACATTAAGTCCAGTCAGTGTCCGACTCTGGGGGATGGTGCCCATCTCCATTTCTAAGCTGAAGAGCCGGCATTGTCCGAAAACACCTCAAAAGTCATGTGGCCAGCATGACTGCATGGAGTGCTGTTACCTTCCCACAGAAGCAGTAGTTATTGATCTACTCACATTTGCATGTTTTGGAACTGCTAGGTTGGCAGAAGCTGGGGCTAACAGCCAGCGCTCACTCCGCTCCCCAGATTCGAACTGCCAACCTTTCAGTCGGCAAGTTCAGCAGCTCAGCTACACCACCCGCTACACCACCAGCTGCTGTATTTAGTTTATGTTATTCCTATGGCTTTTTAGGAATTTTAGGAGAAGGTTTTTTAAAAAATCAATATAGGTGACTGTCAATTCGATTGTGAAAATCGAAGGTGTGTCTGATCCTAATTCCTATTTTCTCCCTATTTCCCTTCTTCCCCCACCATGCTGTTTTTTCAATGTTTGTTTTAACATTTGTTAGAGACTTTGCAGCAGACAAGAGGCTCCCAAGTTTGGGAAGAGTGCTGACATGTGCCAATTTCAGCTTGGTCAAAGCTGGAAGATTGGAAAACTTCAATAGGTAACATCATAGGAATCTATGTGAACTAAGTATTTGTGAAGATTGCCGGCAAAAGGTGCAATCTTGCATAAGTTTTGAAAGAAAAAATAACAGCCACACTGCTGGTAAAATAAACATCAAGTCCACATTGGAGATCAATGTAAAAACAGTTATAGTCAGCCCTCCATATCCATGGATACCTCAGCAAGCAAGAGTCCAAAAGTGGCAGGTTATAACCCAGAACCTTAATTAGTGGCTGATGCCAAATGGGAAACTCCCCCCTGGGCACACAGAAGGCTGGATGACTTGGAAGGCGCAGAACAGACTGCGCTTTGGCACCACGAGATGCAGAGCTACAAACTGGAGTCCACAACATCTGAGTGTGGAGAAGAGCAAACTACAGACCATTTACTACAATGCAGTCTGAACCCTACCACTTGTATAATGGCGGACCTTCTTATTGTGACACCACTCGAAGTAGACATCTTCTGGTCAAAGGAAATTTAGTATAATGCCAAGTTGTTAACTTTGTTTGTGATTTTTCTATACATTATAACAGTATTCCCAGTTCGCTTCTGACACGATAAATAAAAATCCATGGATACTACATCTACATATTTAACCATACATAGTTTGAGAATATTCCCTCAAAATTCCAAAAAGCCAATTTGGATTTTGCCATTGTCTGTAAGGGACACCATTTTGCTACCATAATATATAATGGGACTTGAGAATCCATGGATTTTGGTATCCACAAGGGGATCTGGAATTAAACCCTAATGGATACCAAAGGCCTGCTAAATGCTCTTTCCTGTGAAAGACAATACCTAAAATAATTGAAAGTTGAAACTTTAGAGCCATCTTTCTCCGAGATCAGGGAGAAATCCGAATATTCCAAAAGGCAGTGAATATGCAGAGAGTGGACTGAGAGAACAGTCAACACACCAACAGCCTTTGCTTGGTCTTGGGAGTTCCAGGAACATCTGCTCTAATAACTCCAACTCGTTTATTGATCTGCCACATTGCAGAGCCTGTTTTTTGGACAGCACCACTGCACTGCAGAACTGAGGCTGTGCTGCTGGCATCTGACCCTTTTGCTGGGAATGCGCAATAATACTATGGAAAACAACCCAAAGCACACCAACCCTTTGCCGCAGTGGGCAGAACACTGCAGAAGAGCAGCAGCAGTCAGACTAATACAGTGTTAGTAATCAACAGAAAAGCTAGAGAAGGAAAAAAAAAAGATGAGGCGACAATAATTAGATCGAACTGACCATTCTGTGCAAGATTTAGAGAGGTGGCTAATTACACCCACCGAAAACAATAAAACAGAGGGCAGCAATCCAGCAATTCCATTTGCAACAAATTCATTTGTATTTCCTTTAGGGGGGATAAATCCAGGCTCTTCTCGCCTGCTCCAGGCCCCCTGCTGTTCCTCATCTGAGCTTTTAAAATGATTTATGTCACCTAATGATAGAGAATGTGCCACGTGCCAGCTGAATTTAGAGAAATGTTTCCTAAACACGCATGAAAATGGCTGTAAAGATTCATGAGAGCAGACCCACCAGCATCCCCCCAGCTGTGATTATTTTGGAAAACATTCTGTACCTCTTGCTACCAGAGTCTTCGTCTCGCACAAAATTAGCACTGTGCTTGTTAATTGAATAATTAGTCAGGTGCATGCAGACGTCATCCTGTAAATAATTAAACAAACAAGCAGGTTATGAGGCCATAGAGATTACAACCTCCCTTATGCTCCTTTTTCAAAATGGAGGTGGGGAGAGCAGAAAACGTACTGCCTACATCTTATGAAAAACCTGGAGGGATTAGACTGTTTTATCCATTTCTGAATTTCGATTCTGTTACTATTGCATTAATTTCTTAACATAATTTATCCTGACTGAAGGATTTTAAGTACATGCATATCATTGCTCTTTTAGACATTTGTATATATTTGTGTGAATGTGATTGACTTGTATGGTCTGGGCATTAAATGGAGGAAACCCCAATTCTATCTCCACAATGTGTGGGCAAGGGGGAGACGATAATCTACATATATTACATAGCAAGAATAAACTGGGTAAGGAAACAATGTCTTAAATCCAGAAACTGAAAAATATAGTCATCACATTTTCTTACTGATGGAATTTTACAGGAGAACCAGCAGATTCTCACTTCAGCTTGCATCCTCACACTGTTTTTATAGCATTTTTTTCTTTTTTAACAAGAAGAAATCAATGGGGGTTGGGGAGGAAAAAATAGACAGACTTGCTACTAGGAGACCTCCATCTGGAAAGGGTCTGTACTAGGAAGACACTCAGCAAAACAAATGACAAAAATATTTTCAAATTTTAATGGCTATTTGCTTTATGTCCTGTGTTAAAAACAATGAAAGTAAAAATAGCCTATTTGAATAGAATCATTGAACTTTGCTTGGTTGGAGGCTCAAATTTCTTGATGACCTAAATCCTAAATCCTAAAAAAGACCAATGAATGAAAGGTATGTTGATCAATTAAAACATATGTAACTTCCAGTGATACCATACCATACTCTGATGGAGTCCAACTGCAGAATCCTATTCCAACATACAAACCATTGAGCCAGGTTGGATCTCATGTGTTCTATAGCTTATGACTATTTTATGCTATTTCTCTTCCTATTTATCTTTTACAGTCCTAACTTTCCCCCATAATCAGAATAATCCTTATTCATCATAGTCACATCAGGTGGAACTATCATTCGAAGACGGTTCCACATAGCTCTTTAATTCGGGAACAATTGCATTTACAAAACGTGATTGAGCCTGGATTCTAGTCCGCACATGCCCCAGAAAGCGTGTGCTTTTTGGGGAGGGATGTCCACATGCCCTCCTGGAACCAGAACACCATCTCCCCAAAACCCCTTAAAAAAGGGGGTGGGGGGAGTAAAATAACTTACTGCTGCCAGAGCTATCCTGGTGTGTAGAAATGACGTGCCAGGAAAAGGGGGGCAGATTTTCCTCCCCTCCCTGCTCCTGGCACATCATTTCTATGTACCAGTATAGCTCCAGCAGCAGTTTAATGATGGCTGGGTAAGTTATTGTAGCCCCCCCCCCCCCCGCCATTTTTAAGAGGTTTGGGGGAGGGAGTTAGAGCACTCTCACGTTTTCCAGGCTGATCAGCCCGGGAAATGCGAGGTGGTTGTGCAGACGACCCACTCAGAAGTCCCAGAACTTCCAAAGGGGACATCCAGACAGCAGTCATACTGGATTTGACCAGGTCTTTCCAGTATTAAATTAATTCGGCACAAATCAGGGTTTTCCTGCTTTGTGCCCAAACCATTCATTTTTCCCTGATGCTTTGTTTGGATGCCCAAGGGGGAAATGAGGGAGAGCACGCACTTTAGGTGCTGTTTGGATGCGCCCCCAGGTGGAGGTATACTGATGATGTAATTTGTAAGCCATACCATACAAGCTACTTCCTAATTACAAATATTATGTTCCAGACCTCGAATTTGTCCAAATACTTCTGTACTAGAAACTTACATATCAATAACTGTGGCAGAATAAACAACTTGATCACACTGCTGCATTTTCTGGGATATCCATTCTTGGGAAATGTTGAAAGCATTAGACGAAACAGTCTGGCATGAGCCAAAAGCTAGAAATATCCTAGATCATCTCTGCAAGATTCTACTTTTACTCACCAAATTGCTCTGTGATGGGTCTGAGTAGGCAGATGTTGCAAAGCGTGCCAGGCCCTCCTTATAAACAAATACCCGTAGTGGATCACATGATGTCACCAGCACATAAACTCGAAGATCAAACTTGAACCCATCAATAATAAAAGGCTTGAAGAGAGAAGAAAAGTGTCTGAATTAAATACCTAAGTGGCAGAGAACTCGCTTCTCTGAGTAGAGTGGTGAAAACCAGGAGATAAGTCTGTCATAGGAGAACCCCCAAAAAAGCAATGACCCCTTGACTTTCTCTGCCATTGCCCCTCTTTGGCCTTTCTGAAAGCTTGGGTGGAGAAATGGTGGTAGGGGCCAGGGAAGGCTAGCCCCCTGAGGTGGCGCTTCTTCATCTCTGTGGAATGATCCATAGGTCAAATCAGAATCCATAATTTAACTTCCCAAAACTGCCCTTGACTTATATATGAGTCCAAATATATTTGGTAATCATAAAACAGATGCAACCTGGATAAATAAATGAGTTAGTCATGGGAGTTCTATGTGCCAAGTTTTGTCCAGGTCCATCATCGGTGGAGGTCAAAGTTTCTCTGGTTGCGGATGAACTACAAATCCCAGAAAGAAGGGTCAGTTCCCACCAAACCTCTCCAGTAATCAAATTTTGACATACTGGGTATGTGTGCCAAGTTTGGTGCAGATCCATCATTGTTTGTGTTCACCGTGCTCTCTGGATATAGGTGAACTACAACTCCCCCAAATCACAGTCAATTTTCCCCAAAGACCTCTAGTATTTTTTGCTGGTCATGGAAGCTCTATGTGTCAAGTTTGGTCCAATTCCATCTTTAGAAGAGTTCAAAGTGCTTATTGATTACAGTTGAACTATAAATCCCCAAACCTACAACTCCTATAAATAATGGTGAATTCACCCCAAACCTCTCTAATATATTCAGTTGTTGATAAATTCCTCTGTTTGCTGTGTGCTATAGAAAAGATTAGGAAAGAGTTAAGGAAGAGGCAGTGGATGGAGTCATACAAATTCCACACCAATTGGGAGAGTAAGAAACACTGAGATGTCTGTTGTGGAGGAAAAACAGAAAATCTAGGATGAAATTGTCCTCTTATGAAAGCCTTCACTTGGGTAGTGGGCAGTATGATGTTTGTGGAAGACATTGGCAGACCTCTTGTACATGTTTATGGCCCTCACTATAACCTGCAATGTCATTGGAGGGAGAGCTTTTGGTGTCTACTGAGAAGTAGGAGCTGTAGCTGTTTGCGGAGGCAGGAGCTTGTCTGTGTAAGTGGACACTCAAGCCACATACACACATTATTATGGATATAGATTTATATTAATTACATTCCATACTGTCAAATGCCCTTGGGGCAGTTTTAAAATACTGCTCTCTTCCTTCTAAACCCACCACTTTTTTCAAATCTCCATATCTCCCACCAAACAAAGAATCCAGCTCCTTCTACATTTCTAGTTACCAAACATGAGTTTTCTTCCAGTCCCCTGGGTTTTCTCACCATAGGTTCATTAACCATAAATGTTCCCCCAGTGATCTCCCCTCCTAGTAACAGAATGTTTATGAACATCTGCAAAATTGCACCAATTAATGGCTAGAGTGACTCATCGATAGCATAAATAAGTCATTTTAAGACTAATATAAGAGATTACCTTTGAGATATAGAGCTGACAGATCATATCCTCTCCAGGTTTGATATCTTTCACAGTCCTTGTGATAAAAATGCCTCTGCCTTGACAGCCAGAGTCTGGTTTACAGATGTAAGTCTTATTCTTTTTTAATCGGCCAAAGGCTTGCAGTTCTCCATAGCTAACAGCAGTGAATAGGAAAGCAAAGTAAGATTGTTGACATATAACTGAACCCTGGTAGAGCAATTGTCTAAACTAAAGTAGTAATGGGAATACTAACCTAACCACCAGAACTGAGTTTGTTTTTAAAAAGCTACATAGACAAGCCCTTTGCTACAATTCACACAGATTCTGGGCTACAACATCAATTATTTTATTATTATTTACAGTATTTATATACTGCCTTTCTGACCCCTGGGGGGACTCAAAGCGGTTGTAATTGCCTCCCAAACTCCTCGGGCATTCCTCAGGAATTTAATAAATATCTAGAGAGATAATGGCATTTCCTCAAAAAGAGGAACTGGCAAATATATTAATGTCCAGCTATGTGAAACACATCTTTCCCTTCAGGTTTACATCTCTCTGCAGCCAGAGCAATGTGCCTACCTGGTTTCACATCTGCTTCCTGAATACAGTTGCTATTCAGGAGGGAAGGGGGGGGGGGAGGTCAGATTTTGGGAAGACTCACTCTGCAGGAAGACACCAGGTTCTGGGAAAGAAGTTAAATTCCTTAGGAAAGAGCTTTAACATCCTGCCCATATTCCGAGCCAGAAGGTCCTTCCTACAGATTTCAGACATTCCAGGAAAATGGTTGACTTTCTAGAAAAAGATGTCAAAGACAAAATCTTAAATGCCATTAAGGCCCTTTCCAAACAGGCTCTATATCCCAGGATTTGATCCCAGGTTTTCTGTTTATCCCAGATTATCTGGCAGTGGGGACTCATACAAAAGAATCTTAAAGCAGAAAATCTTGGATCAGATCCTGGGATATAGGGCCTGTCTGGAAGGGTCCTAAGACTTTGGCTCTTTTTAATTAATTAAAAATATATAAAGATTAATTAGCTTTATCTCAAGGTGATGAGACATACCTGGTAAGTTTTCATTTCCATCACTCGCTCTAGTGAGACAGAATAATCTGTCCAATACAGGGTCCAATCATCAACCTCACCAGCCTCCCGGAGGCCACACATTTTAGCCGCCCGTCTCACTGCAGGGAGAGGAGATCCATCACCATTTACACCAGTGTTTCTCAACCACCCTAATGCAGCAACCCCTTAATACAGTTCCTCATGTTGTGGTGATCCCAAGCATACAATTATTTTCGTTGCTACTTCATAACTGTAATTTTGCTACAGTTATGAATCATAATGTAAATATCTGATATGAAGGATGTATTTTCATTCAGTGGACCAAATTTGGCACAAATACCCAATATGCTCAAATTTGAATACTGAGAGGGTTGCGGGGAGGGCAATTAATTTTGTCATTTGGAAATTGTGATTGGTGGGATTTATAGTTAGGGAGAAAGAGAATTCTGAAGTCCACCAACAATGGAATTGAACCAGACTTGGCACACAAAACTCCCATGACCAACAGAAAATACTGGAAGGTTTGGTGGGCATTGATCTTGAGTTTTGAAGTTGCAGTTCACCTACATCCAGAGATCATTGTGAACTCAAACAATGATAGATCTGGACCAATCTTGGCACGAATCCTCAATATGCCCAAATGTGAACACTGGTATGTGAACTCCCAACTTTGACATTTGGGAGTTGGAGTTGCTGGGATTTATCATTCACCTACAATCAAAGAGCACTCTGAACCCCACCAAACATAGAACTGGGCCAAACTTCCCACACAGAGCCCCCATGCCTTGAAGGGAGTCAGTGATGCAGGCCTCCCTCCAGCCTCGCACTCTCTCCCTTGCCCACATATGTGCACCACGTTGCCATGTGCTTAGCACATCTGCTCTCTCCTCCCCACTAGGAGTTTCAGAAACAGCCCTCCCCTTGGCTGAGAGGCTGGCTGAGAGGCCAGTCAATCACAGTGGAGGAGGGCTTTTGGTGGGAGGATTCGTTGTCTGTTTCAAAAAAGGAAGAGAAAGACAGGCAGAGAGATCATCAGCCTTCTCTGTCAAAGAGGTTCCTAAGACCATCCGAAATATATGTTTTCTGAGGGTCCTTGTTGACTCCTTTGAAACCCCTTTGTGACCCCCCCAGGACTCCCGACCGCCAGGTTAAAAGATGCAGAGATGTTGGTGAGTGAGATGTGTGAAATAGTGTAACTCAAAGAGACTCATTAAAGGTACATCTTAAACTAAATATTCTCACTAGCATGGGTATTTGAATGAAGCATGGGTATTTTAACTATGTGAATGAGGAAATCATTTTCTTAAATCTAGAAGGTGCCAAGCGACAGGATACTGCAAAATTCTCATCTTCAGATTACTACTTTTATTTGATGTATGTGAGGCAGCCATGGGGGGGGGGGGGAGCAATATGGAGTTAGGAATAATAAGAATTTAAAATGTAATCAATGTATATTTTTAAAGCTTGTTATTTAGTTTGCACATTGTATTTCAGATGCCACCATGAGATCTAAAGTCTTCTTAAAAACAAACAACCAAGAACAAAAGTAAGATGCCTCAAAATTCTACTTAGAATCTAGAAATATCTGAACATTTTTTCTCATCCAAGAGAGAGAGAAAATACAGGCTTTTCTTTCACAAACAGAGGCCAACAAGGTGCTCACCACTCTCGTATTTGCAGTTGGTCAGATTTATCACTGGTCATCTGGAAAACATAAAAAGAAGAAGAAAGACAGAGGCAGACAAGCAAAACCAAGTCATGGCAGGAGGAAAGGGGTCTCAAAGAACATCAGAATCTTTTGGATCTTTAAGTTTTTAGCCTTTGTTATCTCCAAGACTGGATGGAATATGACAGCTGGGAAGTGCTAAAGCTTATTTAAATTCTACTTCAACCATGGGTGCATTGAAGGATCCTCTAGAATGCCCACATTCCTATTACTCCTTGATCTGCTTTGCTGAGAGCAGGTGGCAAGATTGTTCTCTTCCAGTTAGGTTTAGTTTAGGACCTGGGGAACTCAAATGAGGACCCACAGACAAAGTTGCCTCCTTCCATAGTTTTTGCCATCCAGAATATGTTGGAACTAGAGGGAGAGCAATGACCTCTGTACATGGCCAAAATGAAATGTGTGTTTAGTTATTCAACTGAGGTTCAGAGTACAGTCATCATCCCTTGAAGAATATAGTAGGCCCTCCACTTTCACAGGGGTTAAGAGAACAAGACCACCATAAAAGTGGAAAAACAACAAACTAAAAAAGTTTTTTTTCTTTCTTTCTTAACACTCTAGGAATTTTTTGTGCTTCCAGTGCAACTCTACGGTCAACTTCTGCAAGACGTTTAAAAAAATAATTTTAATGTGCTTTTAAAATATTTTTTCTTTGTATTGTTTTAATTGTTTTTTATTAATTCATTGCCTTGGGAGTCCTTGTGGGCTAAGAGGTGATACTTCAAATAAATAAATAAATAAATCTGGTCTTGGGATTTGACCTTGAAATGGGACACTGCTCATCCAGAAACCTCTTTTTAGTTTAGTTACTGAAGTCTTTTTGTATACATGTAATAATACTGCCTTGAGAATTTTTAAACTCTATATTAGCAATTCGTCAAGGACAAACCTAAACAGATTAGAAAGACCAAAAGTCCTAGCTTTTGTTCCTATTCTTTCTGATTTTATTCTGGAAATCCAAACATATTTTGTTTATCCCTCTAGTTTTGTCAGATCCCACTATGATCTCCCCTGATTGATTTATTTTAACCCATTATAAAATCAGAAACAAAGACAAAATCTAGGCTGTTTCCATCAGTCTGCATCCTTTCCCTCATCTCTCTGGCATGTTCTCCTCTCAAGCTAAATAGCACCACAACTGCAATCTCATGTTAATACTGAAAAAGACTGCCACAATCAAAAGCAACATTTTTCCCCACAGTCCTGGACAAGGAGGTATTGGATGAATCACAAACTTGACAGTGAAATGCACAGAAATTTCTGCAAGGCCAGAGAGGCATGAAACTAGATCGCAAACAGTTAGCCCTAGACAGACTGGGAGTTTTTGCTCTAGGTAGAAAGTAATACATTTTATTTATATACAAAACAGAACTAAAGGGTTGTTGAATTTGGATTATGGTACATATAAGTGTACATGCCACGATGGCTGTATGATACTTCTAGGATCAAAATCAGCCTGTCTCTGAATACTAGTTGCTGGAAAACAACAGGAGGAGAAGACTGCTGCATTTGATTAGCTACTGTAAGAAGCAGGATATTGGAGTGGATAGATTCTTGGTTTGATTCAGTAGGCATTTTTAAAGTGATGTGCTTAAATTCAAACAGTCAGGAAACTCACAAGAGACCTTAGAATCATAGAATCATTGAGTTGGAAGAGACCTCATGGGCCATCCAGTCCAACCCCCTGCCAAGAAGCAGGAAAATTGCATTCAAAGCACCCCTGACAGATGGTTATCCAGCCTCTGTTTAAAAGCTTCCAAAGAAGGTGCCTCCACCACACTCCAGGGCAGAGAGTTCCACTGCTGAACGGCTCTCACAGTCAGGAAGTTCTTCCTAATGTTCAGATGGAATTGTCCACCTTGTCCACCAGTGTCCTTTGCCCTAAGATTTTCTCATAAGTTTAATACAAGGAAGTTTGGAGGGGAGAGGAGAGATATAATGAGATGCATCCTGTGTCTTTGAGATAGATTGACAGGCATGAGCAAGAGGAATTCCTAAAGACACGCTATTTAGTTCAACCATTTCTTCTCCCCTGGCTCTTTTCCACTGCATAAATCTTGTACCACTTCCCATTTCTCATTTGCACTGTAAACAATCCATCATCTATTTCCAAGAGCATTAGAATTGTCTTCTCCCAACCCCAGCCAGATGTCACAAGCCCTTTTAGAGCTCATTTCTAACCTCTTTTTTTTCCTCTTCTTCTTCGCAACAGCACTGAAACACACACTTTTTGTGCTTTCCTCTTCACACACTGTTTCCTGGTCAGTTGCCTCCAGGACACTTTCTTCTCTTCCCAGGTGACTTGGAAAAACATCTAGTTCAGACTCATCCTTCTCACCCAGTTCTTCCAGCTCTTGCTTCTTTCTGTGAAAGGAGCCATACCTCTGATCTTTATCTGATAAGTTCATCCTGCCCAAGACAAAAACAAAATAGCAAATTGGATCTATAGGTAATTAAAAAATCATACCAATTATTTTTGGATCACAGAATTTACAAGAAAAAGCTTTGAAAACACATAGTAATCCCTTCCATCCATATTCTTTCTGCACAGGCCTTTGTAAACAGTTATGTTTGGCTGAATCTCCATGAATGTTTTCAGAATTTTTAAAGATCAACTCCTTTTCTTCCTTTCAGAATATGCAAGCATCTATCACCTCTCTTTTCATAAACTATTAAATCCATGTGATCAAATACTTCACAAAACACACATTACTGTGATTCTAGTTCTCTAAAGGTTTGGTAGGGTCAATAGATCATAAATATATGTCCGTGTAGGCATTAAAGCTACAAATATTCCTTTCCATGCAGCTAGTTCTTCATCAATGGCTTACCCCTGTTCATCTCTATGGATTTTGGTCCTTCTTCAATTCTAGAGTGCAATGCTATATTCTAAAAGTATATATACCTTACTTGAATGCCACATCAGAACTGACACCCGATATGTAGAATGAGAGAACTCTGGATCTACAGTTTGAAACTTGAATCTAACAGGGTCAAGTTCTCTTGCAAAGCATGTAGTTCAAAGAGAAGTTAAAGTGCTTAAAATCTTTACATGAGGTCTATGCATTGCTTGTATAGGGATAATACCTATCATCTCTTATCAAATATGTTCTCTTCTGCTACCAAGATAGATTCTTACAAAAGTGGGAAAGTAAAATTTGTGTCCAAATTCTCAATACAATTGTGTATTCTTGTTCCAAGTGATTTGCTCAAAGTTCTCCCCAGTGCTCTGTGTTCACAATACTAACTACAAAGCTGTAAATTTAAACGAAGCATGCTAAATCTCATAAATAGGGATGGGTGAATCTGTCAAGCTTACAATAATTGGAATTTACTCTTTTCTACATTTTGGATTATAAGTCTCAAATCTCCCAACTTTGTACATATTTCTGCATGCATTTTTTCAAACTGTACCACTTTCTATGTACAATTTTCAAATGTACACATTTTTTTAAATGGTGAACCTCTCTGAAAAAAAATCTTACATAGAAAACCTGTGATAAGTTCATCTTAGGGCAATCATAAGTCCAAAATGACTTGAAGGCAAACAACAACAACACTGTAAGCTAATATGTTTTATCAATCTTTAAATATAAACATCCTTTCTCCATACATTTTAATGTTTCTCTCTTTCTCTCTCTTAAGGAATTATTGGGGAAATTTATAAGGAACTAACAGCCCTATCATACAAGACAAAACACACCTTAGTAGAGGCTTGGAAACATAGCCTCTATTAATAGGCGTGTGTTAATAGGTGTGTGTTTATCAATTATTTTAACTACTGTTTTAATATTTTTAATATTTTAATGTGCTGATGATTGTTTTATGATGATGACACTGCATGGTGGTTTTGTGAGGCTGCCCTGAGTCCCCCCTCGGGGGTGAGAAGGACAGGTATAAATATAGGAAATAAATAAATTAACAAAAACTTAGGTCTTGGATTGACAAAACCCAAAAAATTAAACCCTAAGGATCAAAGAAACACAATGGAAATATTTACAAAATGGTATAGAACCCCCTTACAATTGGCACACATTATGGGAAACATTTCTAACACATTCTGTCATAAGTGTGGGGAAATAGGTACATTTTCACATATGTGGTGGGATTGTACTGAAACCTAAAAATATTACAACACAATCAGAGAAGTAATAGAGGAAATAATAGGGCAAAAATTACACTGGAATAAAGCCAAATTTCTGTCCCTCACTATAGAGTTAAAGGAGGGCAATAAAGAATGGACAGAAATACTAAAATGGATGGTATCTGCTATACACACCACAAACGCACAAGGTTGAAAAGACAAAACAAGGTTGGATCTGGAAACTTGATGGTCTTACCACTCCGAATATCTATTTAGTGACTTTATCAATCAAAGAAAAAATAAATATTTGAATACTCAAAACAAGACTGGAATATGAAATTGTATTGTTTAATAGACAAAAGGGAAGGAAATGATAGATACAGAAGATTGAACCAGGCCATCCAAACAATTAGATCAGTGTATTGATATAAGCTGACCCAGGTGGAGGGTGGGAAATGGGAGGATAGGGGTGGGGGAGGGAGGATTCAAGGGGAAACTAATAATCTATAATGGAAAAGGAATTGCAAAACTGATCTCATGACATAGTTACAAAAACTGTAAATAGTCATCTACATTGTTTCAGAGAAGGTTTGTACTGTAACACATTGTTATCTGTATGATTTTATAATTCAAAAATAGTAAAAAAAAATAGAAAAAAGCTCCTTCTTTCTCTCTCTCTCTCTCTCTCTCTCTCTCTCTTTCTCTGATGACTCACAGCACAAGCTTGAAGATGTATGTTATTTCCAGGAAGTGTAAACTGTGTCAGCATGATTTATTAAAATGCATACCAAGTATATTGCTTAGTCATCATATTGAGATACTGCTAGAATGCGTTATTATTTTTTAATCTTCGGGTAACTAAAACAGTCCATTCCAAACAAAGAAATTAAGAGGCGGACAAAACTGTAAGGGAAGCTATTCCCTGAACAAATGCCTTATTATTAAAGTGCACTCTATTAGATACCCAATATAAAGGTGAGAAGGTATAACATTAGCCGTAGTTGCAACCATCTCATTAATTTTTCATTTCTACATGCAGTTTCTTATAGTAAGTATATTAAACAGGACAGCAGCTACAAATGGTTTCTGCAAAACATACTTTTTTCATTTTATAGAATTCATTTTTAAATCAATATCTTTTTAATATACAGAATTCTTATTTTTTTAGCAATTACTCTGAAATAGGTTATACCATAATTATCAGCAAACAAAACTTCAGAACAATCAGAAATGCAACTATTATATTTTTTTTCTGTCAGATTTCAGAACAAGATTGCAGAACAAATCAAAATGCATAGGCAGAAATAATAGTCTTTGAAATAATGTGCTATACAAAACAATCCCATGTGTGTTTCCGAATGATATTTCCTTACACAGAAAAATCTTTGTGTTGTTAATTTAAAAGCATTATAGAGTTATTCCATCTTTCCATTCTTAACATTTTTTTAAAAAAAGAACGGGAAGAAAGACTTATCAGTAAGAGAACGTGAAAGTCTAAAAAGTAAAATATGATATGTGAATCCATGGAAGAGCGAGGATAATGGGATGTTGATCAGCATCCAAAATCAAGATCATTGTTTTCAATGGGACATACTGCATGATAAGTTGTTTAGGACTGGAGCTCCACATTGCAATCCTGTATATTTCTAGTAAGAGGAAAATCTCACTGAGTGCATTGGAATTACCTCTGAGAAGATATGTAGAGATATGTACAGCATAAGCTTTTCCTTAAAAAGGTATTCAGACAAAGTCATATATTACTTTTGAACTCTTTGCATCTTGGAAAAATAAACATCAACATTGACAAATAATTTAGCATAAATAATTTGATACCAGTGTGTTTTTAAGATGATCTCTTTACTATGATGGGACCATATTTGTACTGATGAAAACTAACCTGATCTTGCAGCTCCATTTCTGGGAAAGGGTTGTCGGTTCTTCCCAGACCTGTTCATAAGGGAAGGGGTAAGTTGTGGCAGTTGTCATCCTGATGACTCTAATTGGGGTAAAAATAATAATAAAGAAAATCAAACCCAATGTAAATCTGAAGTCCCACAAAATCAAAAGCTCCTGTGCCACACACTGTGACTGTGGCACAGGAGTTAAAACAAATCAAGTGTTCTTTTGAAATAATTATCTATAGACACAGAAAAACCTGCCACGGTAACAGAAACAGTCCCACCGTCACCAAGGAAATGTTTGTGTATTTCATTCACAGTTGCCTGAACATGTTTAGTCCATTGTGATTATCCAAACACCAAGGGCACAGGCATGTTTATACAGTTTGAAACGATATATAAGGACGCAGAGTTAAGTGTGCCCTATGACATATTTTTAAAAACCCAGGAGAAACATGCTTTTAATTCCAATCGTGCTCACAAGTGATGCATGCTGTACGCATGCATCACTTTTGTATTAGAATATAAATAATAATTATTTTATATAAATAATCCTGGGTGAAGAAGAAAGTACCACTTTCCTTTTCTACTCAATTACTGCAACAAGAAAAAGAGCAACAAAGAATATTTTAGAACCCGTATATTACTGAATAATGTTCCTGAAATTAGTTTATTTTTATACAGCCCATGACTCCTCGAGCATGGGACAAAAACAAATATTCAAAATGCCACTATGCTAATATTTGATACACATTAATACCCCATGTTCTTGGTTGATACTTTAGGGAAAGTGTAGCTACATCTTTCTGTGGCTTCAAAACTCCAGATCTTCTCCCAATTAATTTTAGGTGAAAAATCATCCATAAGCTGCTCTCAGTTGCTGCCTAAAATGCCATTATATTTGGAAATATATATATAATTTTACCGCCCCAACATTTGCAAGAAAGCAACCAACAAATTTAGGAAATGAAAAACTATAAGTGATTTCCAAGTATTATCATCAGTGCCAGATTAAGAACTTCAGAGGCCCTAAGTGCTTCAAAGATTTTGGCACCACTGTATATATCTATTTCAAAATATAAACAATAAAATTAAACTAAACCTACATATGTAAAGATTTCCCCTTGACATTAAGAGTATAGCCAATTCCAACTCTGGGAGGTGGTGCTCATCTCCATTTCTAAGCCAAAGAGCCAGCGTGGTACCTATTGATCTACTCATACTTGCATGTTTTCAAACTGCTAGGTTGACAGAAACTGGAACTAACTGTAGGAGCTCACCGCCGTCCCACAGATTTGAACCACTGACCTTCTGGTCAGCAAGTTCTGTAGCTTAATGTTTTAACCCGCTGCACCACTGCAGCCCCTACAGTAACGTGGAAAATTCATGTTTATTTTTGTATACTTCCAAGACATTTTTATGTGATCCTGGATATGTAAAATAGGTATAATATCAAACATTTCTGATTACAAATCAGTATTTGCAAGGCTTGCTAAACAGACACCTTTTCCTTTTTATGAAGTACAGCTGAAGCATCTTTTGCAAAGTCAAGGAGGCAAGGTTCACATAATAGGCAAGGAAGAAATGAGGCAAGGAAGTGGTTTCGCTGTGTAAATGATTACACTATGTAACAACTTTTGAGACACAATAAAATTCTGTCTCCATATCTAAAATAGGAGACCAAAAAAGGGAAATGCTAAAGACTGCTCACACTTTCATACAGTGGACCTTATTTCTCATGCCAGTAAGGGAATACTCGAGATCCTGCAAGGGAGACTCCAGCAATACATGGAGCAAGAGTTGCCAGATGAACAAGCTGGGTTTAGAAAAGGCAGAGGAACGAGAGACCAAATGAGAAAGGCAGGGAGTTTCAGAAAAACATCTATTTCTGTTTTATTGGCTATTCTAAAGCCTTTGATTGTGTGGATCATAATAAATTGTGGCAAGTTCTTGGTGGTATGGGCATACCAAATCACTTTGTCTCTCTCCTGAGGAATCTGTATAAGGACCAAGTAGCAACAGTAAGAACTGACCATGGAACAACAGACTGGTTCAAGATTGGGAAAGGCGTATGGCAGGGTTGTATACTCTCACCCAACCAATTCAACTTGTATGCAGAACACATCATGCAATGTGCGGGGCTTGACAAATGCAAGGCTGGGGTGAAAATTGCTGGAAGAAACATTAACAACCTTAGATATGCAGATGACACCACTTTGATGGTCAAAAGCGAGGAGGAGCTGAGGAGCCTTCTAATCAAGGTGAAAAAACAAAGCGCAAAAGCTGGGTTGCAGGTAACATTTTAAAAAGCCAAGATAATGGCAACAAAAATGATTGATGACTGGGAAATAGAGGGAGAAAACTTGGAGGCAGTGACAGACTTTGTATTTCTAGGTGCAAAGATTACTGCAGTTGCAGACTGCAGCCAGGAAATGAGGAGATGCTTCTTTCTTGGGAGGAGAGCAATGTCCAATCTCGATAAAACAGTGAAGGGTAGAGACATCACATTTGCAACGAAGATCCACAGACCGGTAGTTAAAGCAATGGTATTCCCCATAGTCACCTACGGATATGAGAGCTGGATCATAAGGAAGGCTGAGCAAAGGAAGATAGATGCTTTTGAACTGTGGTGCTGGAGGAAAGTTCTGAGAGTGCCTTGGACTGCGAGAAGGTCCAACCAGTCCATGCTTCAGGAAATAAAGCCTGACTGCTCATTGGAGGGAAGGATAGTAGAGGCAAAGCTGAAGTACTTTGGCCACATCATGAGGAGTCAGGAAAGATTAGAGAAGACAATTATGCTGGGGGAAATGGAAGGAAAAAGGAAGAGGGGCTGACCAAGGGCAAGATGGATGGATGGCATCCTTGAAGTGACTGGCTTGACTCTGAAGGAGCTGGGGGTGGTGACGGCTGACAGGGAGCTCTGGCATGGGCTGGTCCATGAGGTCACGAATAGTCAGAAACGACTGAACGAATGAACAACATCTAAAATAGGAGTCTGGCTGGAGTGTTAAGGTTGGATCTACTCAGTCTGAACTGCATTATACAATGTAACAAAATTGAAAATACTTTCTATTCTTGTTTAACTGTGCGGTACTTACTTCGAAAGTAGTTGTTATACTCCAAAAACTTTTGTTTCTGTGACTGCCACAATGTTGAATGGTTGAGACTCTATGGGCCCTTCCACACAACTATATAACCCAGAATATCAAGGCAGTGTCTTCTTTTAACTTAGTTATCTGAGTCCACACTGCCAAAGCAGAAAATGTAGGATTTTATTTAGCTCATAGTCCCTCTGACTATTTGAGGGGACAGACTATCATTTGTTGCTGTGTGCCTTCAAGTTGTTTCAGACTTGGTGCCCCTAAGGCAATCCTATCACAGTTTTATTGTCAAGATTTATTGAAAGGGATTTGCCTTTGTCTTCATTGGAGCTTTTTTTTCATGTTAGGAGTGACCTGAGAAACTGCAAGTTGCTTCTGATGTGAGAGAATTGGCCATCTGCAAGAACATTGCCCAGGGGATGCCAGGATGCTTTACCATCCTGTGGGAGGCTTGTTTCATGTCCCTGCATGGGAAGCTGGAGCTGACAGATGGGAGCTCACCCTGCTCTCTGAATTCGGACTGCTGACCTTTTGGTTAGCAGTCCTGCCGGCACAAGGGTTTAACATATTGCGCCTCGGGGGCTCCTCATCTGAGGCTGAGAGTCACCTAAAGTCAACCACAGTCCAATATAGGCAACCCTGAGGCCCGGATGGCGATTACATAAAGCATGAAGCAACAATGCACATCAGAGCTTCTTTTCGTGCACTGTGTTGTCTAGCCATCGCAGTTTGATGCTAGCTTTGAATTGTTTAAACGGTCAGCAGAGATGAAGCCTCTGTAATGGTCTGACAGGTAAGCCCCCCAGGTATTAGGGTGGACCAAATCTCATCAGTGGCAGTCAATGTTGCCAATTGGTCAAGCACTGTAACCCAGAAAAAAGAATATAAAAATTCAAGAGGCATTCAAAAATCCTGAAGGAAGAGCTGGGAACACCTCTAAAACAACTTCAAAAGGACACAGCAGGCGTGATGGCCATCTATTAAAAATATAATGGATGTATTCCTTGCACTACATTCATTATATTTTTAACTAGCCATCCCCTGCCATGCGTTGCTGTGGCCCAGCCTGTGTATATGTGTTTTGTGTGTATATGTGTGTGTGTATATATTTGTGTATATGTGGGTTTGAGCATGCATTGTATTTTTTGTTTTTTGGCTTTTTAAGTCTATTCAGCTGTGTTTTTCAGCGTTTTTATGAGTGATTGTCACTCGTTGGCCTGATATGTGTATTGTGTCCAAATTTGGTTCCAATTCATCCAGTGGTTTTTGAGTTATGTTAATCCCACAAACGAACATTACATTTTTATTTATATAGACTAGCTGTGCCCGCCACACATTGCTGTGGCCAACCTTCCCTCCCTCTTTCTCTCCTTCTTTCCCTCCTTCCCTTTCCTTCTCTCTTTCCTTCCTTCTCTACCTCTTTCCTTCCTCCCTTTTTCTTTTCCTTCCATTTCTTTCTTCCTTCTCTGCCTCTTTCCTTCCTTCCTTTGTTTTTTGTTTCCACCCTTCCTTTTGTCTTTCCTTCCTTCACTCTCTTTTTCTTTCTCTTATTCCTTTGCTCCCTCTTTCCTCCCTTTTCTTTTTTCTTTCCTCTCCTTCCTTCTTTCTTTACCCATTTCTTACCATCCCTCTTCTTTTCCTCTTTCTCTCCTTTCTTCCTTCTTTACCTCTTTCCTTCCTTCCTTCGTTCTTTGCTTCCATGCTTCCTTTTCTCTTTCCTTCATTCCTTCCTTCTTTCTTTCTCCCCTTCCTTCCCTCCCTCTTCCTTCCCTTTTTTCTGTATGTCATTTATCTTTTTCGTCATTTATCTTTTGGGGGTTTTTAAGTCCTTTCCACCCTTTTGGGGGGGGGTATGAGTGATGAGCACTCATTGGTCTGTTAGGAGTGTTGTGTTCAAATTCCGTGTCATTTCGTCCAGTGGTTTTTGAGTTATGTTAATCCCACAAATGAACATTACATTTTTATTTATATAGATGGTCATGAGCTGCTGAA